GAGACATGCCTCAGAGTACTCTCACAGACAACAAACAAATTACCAGAAACAGTTACAGAGACATGCCTCAGAGTACTCTCACAGACAACAAACAAATTACCAGAAACAGTTACAGAGACATGCCTCAGAGTACTCTCACAGACAACAAACAAATTACCAGAAGAAATTAAAGAGACATGCCTCAGAGTACTCTCACAGACAACAAACAAATTACCAGAAGAAATTAAAGAGACATGCCTCAGAGTACTCTCACAGACAACAAATTACCAGAAGCAGTTAAAGAAACATGCCTCAGAGAGTCAGAGTACTCTCACAGACAACAAACAAATTACCAGAAACAGTTAAAGAAACATGCCTCAGAGTACTCTCACAAACTCTGAACTGCCAACTTTATTTATATACAGGTGACTCTCGATGGCTCGAACTCCGATCTCTCGAAGTGAACCTCCGGTCCTGTTTTTTCCTCTATATAACTAAACAAATTTACTCCTGATCTCTGGAACTTCTACCTCTCGAAGTTCTCTATCTCTTGAACCAAAAGCTGGGTCCCGTTACACATATTTCATTGAATTTTACTCTCTATCTCTCAAAGTTTTGATTTCGAGTGTATGTACACGCAATCAAGCGTAAAATTGGGCCTGGACTTACTTGGAAAAACAGTGCATGCCTGAGGCATGGCATGGAGGTGTTAATTGGTTGTTTTCACAGATGACACTACACCTGTGGGTCGTCCGTGTATTGATATAATTGGTTATCATTGGTAAATTATATACGAATTCACAAATTATTTTGACTTGAAACTGAGACGATAATTAAAAAAAAATAAATTTATAGACGTTCGTTTCAAGTTCCCATAGACTATGAACTTTTATTAGAGTCTACATAATCCCAGAATGGCAAATATTGCACAAGAAATTCCTTTCTCAAGGAATGAATACCGATTAAGAAAAATCTGGTGAACACTGGTGAAGGACCCGATCAAGCCGCGGAATAGCCAAACCAACAGTTGCTATTCGGGTTTCATGTTTTTCATTAAATAGTACTTAATACTTCTTTGGTTACAAATATGACTTTGCTATGTCTTTAAAAGTTTTAACCAAAAAATTTCATCATGTATGTTTTTAATTGTACTTATCAAAGTTAAACAATGAGAAAAAGTTATAGAAGTGCATCTATGAGTGATTTAATTAATTTCTTACTTTTAGAGAGTCGCTTGCTTTCCCTGTTTAGCCTACTCTTCGCTAAAAGTAGATCCTCTGTGGTTATTAATGGTCGTTGTTGGCTTTGGGGTGCTTTCACGGGTGGTGGGGGTGGAGGGGGTGCTATTGGCTTGACTGCTTTAGAATTGTCTTCACTCACCTACAGCAAGTATAAATACTTGAAGTATTTCTAAACAGAGCAATTCAATAAATCAGGAAAATATAAACAGCTCCACAAGCTTGTAGTATATATAATCAATCCTAATCTTAGTACACTGTACATAGAGTGAAAAATGAAATCTATATGTAAATCAAATATAAAAATTAGTTTATTTATATTGAATTATAAATTCAATTTAATTTTATTCTGCTCCTAACTTTCATTTTTACATTGATTTGAAAATTGTTTGAATTCTTTTTAAAAGGAATTAAAAGATATTTTTATGCTAGAAATTTCAAACGGAATCATTAATTTTACAAAATTTTAAAATCTGCTCAATTTTTTTGTCTAATAGTCGTAAGTTCTTTTTTAATACAGGCCACTGATTCCAGTAGTACTGGTCCCTACATAGACTTGCTACAACAAAACTCAGCAATCTAAGCAATTTAACAACCACCTTAGCATTTACTTTGCAAGAATCAGAATAAATTTTCTTAATTGGTGATATTCATTAGGAAAGTTTTATAGACAACCGGACAGACAGAGAAACTTGACAAAAAACAATGATTCTCATCCCTACATTTTTGAAACCAACTTTCTTCTTGGTTTTGGTGATGGCTGCTGGTGCTGACTGGAATTTCTCCGGCATGGCTGCTGGTGCTGACTGGAATTTTGGAATTACGTTCATATTACTGGTGTTGTCTATTTCTAGGGGAGGGGAAGGAGGAGGGGAAGGAGGAGGGGAGGGTATAGCACCCTCCGGGGGTTCTTCTTGCACTCCCCCCTTCTTTTTCTTCATTTTCTTCATGTTTTCTATTTGCTTCTTTCACATCTGCATCAACAAAATTTGCATTCATATTTAACGTAAATGAGATATAATTCTTACTTTTCATTTCATGAAGGATGTTGATAAATAAATTGATAGATTATTATGACTGCAGCTGATGTATATCATGCTTATTATAGTTTTTTTAAATGTATAAAAATATGTGACTGGCATGAACTGTGCATATGTCTTTATTGAAGATATCCCCCTCGGCCTCCACACCCCATCCTAATCCCACATTTATATTTTGATTATGTGCCTGGTTTCCCCTGCACATTGTCAAAACTATAAAAGTGGAAATGGGAGGAAAGATCACGAGGAATTTCGGATTAATATGGCTTAATGATAATCCATTCATGTCATGCCGACTTGGCTCTGTATACTCTCTAATCTTTATTCGTTACATTCGAGTCACAGTCAAGAAAAAAAGTTATGTTTGTCATAAATTTTTTTTCAAGTACATGTATTTACTTTTCGTACTTACACACATCATTCCATCAGTTGGCAAGACACGCCGTCGCGAACCAAAACATGTTTATAAATAGAATTTTATCCGATTGCTCTCCCTTGAGGCTTGAAAAGAGCACAAGTTATTTCAGCCTCTAACTATTTCGTTCCAGGGACATTCTGTCTTCTCCTGTTTAAAAAGATCTAAATTTTATAAAATGTTTACAATTTTCATACAAAAATTATTTATAGATAGGATATAGAAATTATAATGCTTATTAAGAATTTAGATAAAAATTAAAATGGAACATATAACGTTAATAGAATTTCCATTGACACAAAACAATTGTTATCGGGCTTGAATACTGTTTGTTATCTCCATACATGTACATGTATATTTCTCTTAGTATGGTCTACTTATGAACTAAGTCTAACTGAAATCCAGCCAAGCTATAGAAAAGAAAGATACAGCTTAGAATGGTCTACTTACGTATCAAATCTAACTTGAATCCAACCTAAACAGTATAGAAGGAGAAACCATTTGAAACCGTTTAATGAATTTCTCAAAAGTTTCTACTTATACCAACACATGGTAACATCAATATTGTTGAAATCCAAAATAACAAAATATAATTATTTCTCAAGTAGACTGTAGTTCTACTAGTGTACTCATAATATAGAAAGATATTTCTTGGTACAGTTTATGTGTCTTGTTGTAGTCTTTTTGTGTTCCACAGTGACGTACGTAGCATCGTTTTTAAAGTGGGGAGGGGGGGGGGGGGGCAGAGAAAGAAATAAAATAACTTACCGGAAAAAGTTGACAATTAAAAAAATGATTAAATAAAGTATGCACAAATCGCGAGGTTATGAAGAGGGCATCGAAAGCCTTCATATATTTCACTGTCTGATTTATATATTTTAAGTGTATTGTATAATTGAATATCAAGTTAATCATGTGAATTATTATCTGAATGTTTTGGTCTCAAAGAATGTTTTGTTACAAGGAATAAATTTCAATGCTTTAAAGTTAGTTAAAGTAAATACATGATTATCAAAACAAATTAAATCTCTCTTCATATCAGTTTGTATACGTACAGTTGACACGGACACTTGTTTCGGAAATAAATTTTAACCTTAGTAATAACAGTGTTATTAACACACAGGTGCCTGTGACAGTTGATTACTAATTTTAGAAAAAAAATCTTTGTTTCAGGAGTGTGTGAAATTCAACTTTCTGCCCCCCCTGTTGAATATATTTTTTCTTGCATTTTATTTGGGGGGGGGGGGGGTTATAAGGTGCTTTATCTTCTAACCACATCTGACAAAAATATTGTCGCAGTTATCCCGCTTTTTATTGACAAACGTTGGACGATTCCATTAAAATTGATTGGAGGGCAAATTGACATTTTGTCTCTTTTAAATATATCCAAAAGCACAAGATTTTATACAAAAGTTTAATGTAATGAAGAAACTTTTCTTTCAGCAACTGTAGATCAATGGTTTCCATTACAACTGGATGTTATATATAGAGAATATGTGACCTGAAACCCCTTTGGTTAAGGTTCACCGGTCTCTATCCACCATATTGTAAACAGGTGCCCGTGTGCTTGACAACGCCTGTTATGTCTATGTAACCAAACTCCCTGGGCTAAAGAAAAGGCGTTAAAACAGAAAGATAACAAATCAGGATGGTCAAGAAATGTATATGTGAAATCTGTACATGTGGGTAAGTAAAATTGTTATCATTTTCTATTAAAACTGTGTTAATGAAACGTACTAATTTAGAACTTGCATGTGAACTGTGAAAGTGCACATTGGACATTGCTTAAACTTTATACTAAGTTGTATCAGAGGTCACTAATTAATTATTTAAAGATACAAAGGTGATGATTAACTTAATTGACCAGCTTGCATGACTATACATTTCCATTTGTTTTGGATTGATCATTCAATAGGATTTATATCAGATTAATTAGTCATTTATTACAGACAAACACGTTTCTTAATTAGCATGATAAATTAATTTTTCTAGTCTGTTCAACGATGGGACATTGCAGTTAGGTTAGAAACATTATGTTCATTAAGGATACAAATATTCTTACATGCATGCAGATTCGAAAGTTTTGTACCATGTAAATAAAATGACCTGGGGTATGTCCCGTGCTCGTATTCAACACCCCCTCCCCCCCCCCCCCTCCCTTGGACAACTATGTTTTGTTGTTCATTGTCTTCAACACTTTAGTTCTTTTCACTCTCACTAAATGATATAGAGGAATACTATGGGTTTATTACAGAATGGTATACACAAATTAATCCTTTTGATTAGGCGAATCCCTAGAAAAACTTAGTATCAACTGAGCATGGAGTGCGAGGTCAATATGCTCTCTCAAGAGTCTGTATATCTAGAGATTGTTTCAAATCAAATGGATATTTTTGTTTATTTTATTATTTTTATACTTGATACCTACGATACTAGTTGATAAGAAATTTCTAAAAGAAAAAAGTGTTTCTATTAATGTTCATAGTTAATTTTCTTTTATCAGGCATAGATAAGTCATATTCATTATGGCAATTACAACACAGTTACAAAGAGCAGCTGAAGTATCAGTTTATAGAAACATCCACTCTAAAATGTTTATTGTGACCTCATCATTATAATATTTGCTGCTTCACTGAAGAACATTTCCAATTTTAGAAAAATCTGGGATTATTATGCTTTTTAAGAGGCTTAAAATAGAAATACCTGGTAATATTTTAAACTAGATGTGAAGGGATCAAGTTTGAGCCAGTCTGATAGAGAAAATAATAAATACAATGATAAATATAATTATGCTCCTTTAAATCCTACCAAATAAAAGTATAAGCTGTACTTGTAGCTTTGTGAGGGACAGTGTCCATATTATCTCTTCCTTCCACTCTAATATTGTACTGGTATAAACTTTATCCTGCATAATTAAACCATGAGTTATCCCAAGTAAATAATTTTTTTAAATAGGTAAAAAGTGAAGAAATATTCCATACATGTACTGCATAGAATTCGAATAAATATACAGTGCACCATATTGTAATGAAATGTATGGAGCTTGAAAGGATCAATGTGTTTTAAAGGGAAACAACTCTGTCTGTCCTCCTCTGCAGTGATTTATGGCATATTTCATTTGCCCTCAAAATCAAGCTCAAAATATCTCCTAAAGTAAAGTCAAATATTACTGACAAAAGGTCTTTGTGTTCTCATTTTCCTGTAGCACAATACAAGCTTAGAATGAATTTACATATATACTTACCAATGCCATGCAGATTTTTTTTTTTTGAAATCATCAAAAATTGATGAGTAGGTATAACGAATATTTAATAGAATAAGCTCCTAGTTGTCTTCAATGATGAGCATTTGAATTATTTTGCCCAAAAATACATGTTAGTTTAATAAAGATTAAGACCACAAGCATTTGAAGGTTGGCATATTTTTCTTACAAAAAATAATAACCCAATATTTGTACCTAATAATTCACAAGGAATACTAATTGATATGGGTTTTTTTTTAATATACTGACACGCAAAAGAAAGCAACAAACAGTAATTTACAAGTGTTTGATTTTTTATCTTATGATTTTCAAAAGCAAAAAAAGTAAGGCTAAATTCACTTTCCAGATCATCAGAGATTTGATAAAAATGTGAAATGTTTCTCTATTTACTTTACTAAGTAAAATATGACTGTTAAAACACTCCCCTCCCAGCCGTTTAAATAAAACGTGCAAGACCGCCCTAAACAACAATTGCAGCTTAATTTCTAAGATGCAATAGGTTCATTAATATCGAGATCTCAGCGAAGGAATTATTCTTTGATATTTTTAAATGCCCGTTTTTCAGCTAATTAGGTCAAATTTTCTCTAACTTAGAGCAGTGTAGTCACCCTTGGATTTCCTGTACAAGGACTGTCCTTAATGCATATGATACGCAAGACCCTGCTGAGGCGAAATGTAGTGAATTTTCGCATCAGCAACTCTCCATCACCTTAACATTGAAATTTTCCGGCTAGAGCAATGGGAATGCGTACATAAGCCGTTTTCAAGTAGCCTTAGCATTGTTTCGGGAAACAAAAGTATAGTTTATTTTTTGAAATATTGCTGCATTACTTATGATGAACAGTAAAATCCCCTTAAAACTCTGTAATATTGTCAAATGTTTTGTTAAACATGCAATTTTTGATTTCTGTTAAGCAGACTAAAACTTGACTTCCGGTTATGGTATGGAAATCGTTCAACCGTTAATTTACTGTTTACCAAATTGAAGATATTCATAATTTTAGGATACAAAATTCTTTACTTTACATAATTATTTCCCCCTAAAATAGGGTGTTGCGTTTTTTTTGCGTGTCAGTATATATGTAACATCAAGTATCTGTGATTAAGACAGATATTATTTAGGTTTTTAATCTGTTTTTCCTTTAACTTTACCAGTATCTTTTAATAGTTTATATAAATATTCTTCATATATAAATCTGTAGTTTGTCTTTCATTGTCACCATATGGCTCTAAACCTTTTCATTGCTGCAATAAATACTACCTTTCACACAAAGCCATTCAATCCATGAAAAAGAAATTATTTCTCCAAGGTGTATATTTGTAAATATATGTCTTCTCTGAGAAGTTTAAATGATCTAAAATCTGGGCTGGTTTTTATTCCATTGAAAACTGTTCATTTCTTTTCTGTTTACTCTTGGTTGTCAGTGAAGGTTTTTATGACTGCGTTCGATGCCTACGGTCTTATTAATATTCCAATGACATTGAAATTCTCAATGTCTCATCATATATCCTGTTTACAATTAGTTTGGTGTTAGACGGTCATTAATAAAAGCTAGGATATCAGTGCCTCCCTCTCGCTCTATTTTAAAACTTAATTTAAGTCCTATCAATAAAATTCTCTTCTTTTTTTTCAATACATATTGAATAATTTAGTGAAGACAATATTTTTTTACTTTGTACCTGGTCACTTATTTTCCATGTAAATTTGACAAAGCATTAAAAATGTTCTTAAAAATTCATACAGAGGCAATCCAAGAAATGGGCACAACGTTTTACCCTGGGATTGAATAGAAGTTGTGATTTTGCAGAATTTTGGAACCTTAATTTAAGGTCTTCATCTTAATTAATAGGATTCTTATTCTTGGCGTTAACCTTTGTCCTTGCAGAGTGCATCTTCTTCATTAATTGATCGGATTGATTAATATGTTTGATAATTAATCATCAATCTATCATTTCTTAGTTATTAAAATCCGTTTGTCAGCAAGTCTTGGTTGGCCTCATTGTGTGTATTCTTTCATGACACACTGACTGTTGTTAAATCCCCAAATCCACGCCAAGAAATTAATGGGGCCATATAAAGATTAATGTATAATCAAGCTTGTAAATTTGTATATTAACATATTCAATTAAAACACTGTGTAACCAGGATCCATTGCTTTATGTTATAATTTTTTTAATTTACTTTAACCATGCAGGCCTATGCTTGAACTAAAATGAGAAAAAATTATCAAAACAAAAGTACTGCACATACATGTATATTATTTTATCTTTGTCCTCCCTTAGCTCAACAAATCCATTGTGAGTACAAGATAATCTTATTGATCTGCATGCAGTCTCTACCCCAAACCCTTTCCCCTAAACAAACCAATGAAGGGGATATCTAGCAATATCAGCTGTTATTTTATTTTCCTTTAATTATTTCATGATTTCCCTCAAACTTTGTTCCATATTTCCATATACATCCCTGGTTATCCAAGTGAAATTTAAATCAATGCATGCATACTCCCTGATTGTAATATATTCTTGTATGATGAAGTGTATATACCATTATAATATTTTGATCCCTGACTTTCAATCATTACATAAGGTACAATATATTTTGTACTCTGTTAACTTTCCTAATAGTGCTATATTACATGTATATGGTTTTGTGTTAACTTTCTTCTAAGATAATTGTAATAAAGCTAATTTTTAGCTGATCACCTCATTGAAGTGGGGAAAGATATGTAATACCCTTGGTGATGGGGTCTCAGGTTGAATATTTGGAGCAGTTTTTTTTTTCAGAATACTTCTATACCCTGACTATTTGATTACAGTTGCCTGGATGAAGCATATGTACATGTAGTATGCTTATTTATTAATTAACAGTTAGGAATCAGATGCTACATTTTCATACCCCCTCCCCCCAAAAAAAGGTTTGGGAGTGGGTCTTGTTCTAAACTATGAGGACCAAATTTGCATGGATGATGCATCAAGGAATGCACACTACCAGATATGCTTTAGTTGCTACACCTGACATTTATTTGATAGATATATAATTATCCAGTTTAAATCTTTGGAGCAGGTCTATTTCCAAGTAACTAAAAAAACTTTGGTGACCAAACTTTCATGGATGATGCATGTAGGGATGAAGCTCTGGATGATGAATCGACCTTATACCTACATTTTCCAAATCAGTGAACATTTTCAAACCTTTGGAGCAGGTTCCTTCAAAAGTCACTACAAGAAATACCTTGACCCTAACTGCCAGGATTGTGCATCTTCAAATGCTCAATACATAAATTGTTTTTGATGCTGGATCTGAATCACATCTTCTGAATGAGTGACCAGGTTAAAATCTTTGGAGTGAGTCATTCTCAAGTGGCTATAAGACCTAAGTTGGCCAGACTTGCAGGGACCATATCTATATTCTAGGGATGAACATCAGACACAGTTTCAGTGCCAATTGCTGAACTGTACTTACATATACTAGTATCAGAAATATAAAGCAGATTTGAATTAAGTTCATTTCCAAGCACCTAAACAAAGACCAAATTAATCAGAGATTCTTCCTACCAAAATGATTGTGATACTTTCCCTTCTTTATAGATAACATTTGTTGAGGTGAAATATGTTAATCTTTGATAACATATGCTTTGTTGCTATTGCTAACCTTCACCTTTTGAATTTTTTTTTACATGACCTTGACCTAATAAATCTGAAATGTTTAACAAAGAGTTTGGTTATTTATAGGCGGCACAGATGCCCACATCGGCCCACAAACGTCATCAACAAGGGAGATCAGCCGTGTAACCTTACAGAGTACAACAATGTGTACAAGCAGCACCCCATCCAACCGAGAGAGAGCTTCAAGCCTTCTGCGGAGGCCCTCAGAGGGGGACAGTTTGAGGACAAGACCACACAGAGGTAATACAAACAAAAGCCAGTTACTCCAAACCAACTATTATTTGCATCATTATACCCACAATTGCAATTTGTAGGTTTGAAATCAATATGCAACAGTTATTTTTTATGATTGAGGAAACATATTTCCTGCAAATATAAAGGAAAATAAATGGTTCTTGGTGATTAATATTTGTGTGTTAAAAAAGGTTAGTAAAACTTGTGGATGTTTTTTGCACACAAATGAACATTGGTTTACAATATACGGTAATCTTCCACACAATATTTCATCATTTCATCATATTTGAGTTATCTGTTTTTCAAGTGTACTTTAAAACTGTAAAGTAAAATAGGTCATACATCCAGGAATACTGTTCTTATTCTGTTTCAAGGCCAAAGGAGCATATTATACAAACAGTTTTGATACCTTTGCCGGAGAGCTGTTGAAGTGCACTTTGTTTTTTACCATTTGAAATTCATATCTAACTTATATCAATTTCCAAGATTTTTAGACGACTTCAAGGTCATAGATAGAGCTACTATTAGGGGAACTAATTTATTGCTTCACAGTGTTCCAATCATCATTTTTTTAATTAAGCAATTATCAATAGCAGTCTAACAACATACCAATTATATACAACCGGGAACTTGATCAATTGAATCTCTGTATTCTCATAAATTTGAATTTAACTTAAGTCTACATTTTTTTCTCCCTAAAATGCAAAAAAGCATTCAATGAACTTGTTCAAGGGTTTGCAACCAAAATATCCTTTTGATACTTTCCCCCAAAGTTTGATGAGGATGAAAACTGGCTACGCCCCTATATACATTAAAGATAAATATCTGTTAAATTTCTTGATTTTATTATCACTGAAACATGCTGTAGCATCACACAGCCATTTAAAAATAACTTGAGTGAACTTGGATTGATTTCAGCTGATCCAGTTTTAAAATTTACATCCACATTCTGTTAATTTAAAGATATTTGATAATCATAATTAAGTGTTGCTTGTTTTGTACTCGTAATTTATTGTATGTTAGTTTAAGTTCATTATATTTTAATGTATATATGTATATACTTTAAGTACTAAAGATAGAACAACAAAATTCATGAATGTTCCCTTTAAAAACCTAATAGGAAAACTGCATGTGCACATACTAGTATTGACATATACATATACTGTACATCATACCGGGTACCTTGGTTGTATAGAAAATTTCTCATGAAAAAATTTTGAAAGTGATGATATTAATAATGCTGTGTGCAACAGTGGGAGAAAAATTAGCTCCAGTAGGCACCATAATTCAGTAAACATGATTGTGATTAATAGAGAGACATAAACAGGAGAATGATATTAAATGTGAATATTTGATTTATATACAAACATGTATCCAAGACAAATGGCCACTACTCCTATGACAACAAGCTCCGTTTTCCACAATAGTCATTTATTATGTACATAAATACGCCAGCAATACCCGGGTGTCAATTATAGTTATTGATGTGGGATCCCAGTAATGGAAATAAACAATTGTCTGCCATAGATTGTGTAGATCCTCCGGGAATTTATGGATAACAAGTTTACAATATCAATTGACATCTTTATGTATTAAAATATTTTAAATTAAAATTTAAGTATATGAAATCAAAGCATCTAAAGTGATGGCGAAAGAAATGCCATTATTTCAAACCTATCTGACTGTAGTACAACTCTTCCTGGTATATAAACATATTGATATAAGTACAATCTCTGATGGAGGACATACATACCGATATACATAAGATTTTCTCATTGACTGGGTACCAAGGTTTATGACTTTTTATACCCATCTTAGAACAATCTGAGTTACCTTCACACCTCTATCTAAACCTTAATGATCCGGCCAGCATCAATTATTCAGGACATAAGTGAAGATCAGGTATTGGCCTTCTTTGAGCATCCATCCATTCCATACCAATTAACCACCAATATCCCTACATTATCTCCAGAAAATCAACAAACAGTCAGACGTCAAATAACAGGAGGCGACAGCACTTCATTTTAACACAACTCCTGGATAATCAGAGAGAGGACACTGCACACAGGCCAAGGAATGGGGAGCTTGGAGGGAGAGAAGGATTTTGGACTTAAAGGAACAAGTAGGCAGAAAGAGAGGACAATTGAATCCTTAAAGAAAGAACCAACAGTCCAGAGTTTTCAGGAAAAAGACGCAATAGACACTAAATCCTTGAAGTCAATGAAACTCAGCGATGAAACAGGTCCAAAGTCCTCACCACGGAAAGCTGAAAACGAAGAGTCTGACAAGAAAAATCTGAAAAAGACTAAACAGAAACAACTCACTCCAAGGAGTCTGAAAGATACGACAAAGGCCAAAGACAGGGATGCCAATGCTCAGTGGATGTCTGACTGGGAGCAGAGAGGGGGATCACAGGGGGGAGGAAAGGTCGGCAACACTCAAAGGGATGCAAACAAGTACTGGGAAGGAATGCTGGCCAGAAGGCTAGACAACGGTGACACTCAGATGTACAAAGCCAATCAACCAGCTATCCCTACAAGATCACAGTCTATAGATGGGCTTCATCAGATTGGGAAGAAACCCAAAACCAAACTGGGAGAAAGCAAGCAGAAGGAGGCTTCAGAGAGAAAAATAGGAGATTTCTATGAGAAATCTTTTGAGAGAATACCAATAATGAACCTTACAAAGAGAGAGGTTTCCCAAGGGATGATTGGAGATTTCTACACACCCAGGATGACAGATGAATTTATGACCAACCTGGAAAATGAAAGTAGAAGCAGACGACAGAGCCGACAAACCACTGCAAAGACGTCAGTAGCAAGCTCGAGAGGAGAAACTCCAAAAAATCAAACGAGTGATGATCAGTACTGGCTTCTGCTTAATTTAGAAACCAATAAAGGATTGAAAGTAAAGAAAGCATCGTCTCCTCAATCTGCCATGAGGCCCGATCGTTCCTGTGACACATCTAGTGCCGGGAGCCTCAAATCAGTTTTTTCAGAAGAGGAGCGATGGGAGATGTCTGTGTCCCCTACAAAGTCCATGAATCCCCAGTCAAGATGGCCGTGGGATAAGTCTGCAGATCCCAGAACTCGCGGGAAAAACCATGACGATCTCTTTAGAAGGGACAAAGAAAATATGGTGAAGATAGGAGCGCGTGACAATAAAACAAAAGCTCCATGGGAAACTCCGGACTTAGTACAAGAAGGAAAGACAATCAAGAAAGACCCAGATGATATTTTTAGAAAAGATCCTGCACTAAAAGAAAAGAATTTCCTTACGGAAAAAAACAATTCCATGAAGGTTAAGGCACCTTGGGAGTCGGCTGCCGGTAAAAATAATAATGATTTGGATGTATTGTTTGGAAAACCAGCCTTTCGAAAAAATCAGCTTCCTCGGGGCAAGTCCAGTAAATCTTTCGATGAGACACAACAGAAAGCTTCGCTAAATGTTCTCCCGACCCGTCACAGGAGCAAAGCCGAGGAAACGCATCGCGCGCTTCATCGGGGAAACCAAGGATACCAAAGCAATGGATTTTAAAACTGAAATCAGACAAAGCATGGAAATTGTACATAGCCTTTACTGCATAATACGTTTTATCAACATTTGTGATACTGTATCAACATGAAAGTGATTGCTGTCATTCTATACAACGCCTGAATTTGCTCATATTTTTGTTTTCCATTTTGTGTTGTGATTCAGTGTTGTGTGCGCACACATCAGAAACGAATACCATTTTAAAAAAAAAAAGAAAAAAAAATACGGATAACAGAAACATAATTTCTTGGAAAAGTGAAAAGAGGAATTCAGATGACTATGAAAAATTTGAAAAACTTTTTTTGGAAGGGGGGGGGGGGGTCATAACCAACACCGCAAAAATTCTTACGATGTTATTGCCGGACTTATGTAAAAGACTTCACTAACGTCAGCTGCAGTGAACATTCTTTCTAATGATTTTCCCAGCAAGCTAACAAAACCCTGTCTAATTATGAACCTACCTTTACGCATGGAAAGTTGCTCTAATTCTGTGTTTCTGCCAGAACGTATGAATGGTCAGTGAAGTACTTCCTTCTCTCTGGTCAGTGAAACGATACTTTCCCCTACATCCTCAGTAGATTTGTTGTTAGGATGTATATTTTTTGGTCAATGGTTTCTCTCTTTTAAAAATTGACGAAACAACAACCGAACAATACCCTTCATGTTTATTTTAGAGGGTTTTAAAAAAAAAAAAAACGTTTATGTGAAGTCAATTTTTATAACCTTTAATGAAATATTTTTGTAACTTTTAGATAAGCTGAGGTTACAGTCTTAAAACTTGTTTTTGGAAAGAACAGGGTATATTTGAGTCTATTTCTTTTTTACAGACAAGACTACATCAAACACCCGCTAGAGAGACCCTTTGTGAGAGTTCCAGAGCAGTATAGGAGACCCCAGGGAGAAATGGACGGAGTTACCTCATATAAAAAGGACTATACAGGTACTATATCAATAGAAATTGTATAGTATGTGTCCGTACTTTGACAAAATCTATGTTGTATACTATAGTCAAGCGTGTGTGTTAGATTTATAATGTAATTTGTACGTTTTATTAGTTTGACTAAAACTTCGCTACCAAGTACATGTAAATAATTATAAATTGAGCTGGCCGGGAGTGTGTAATGGTTATATATGTTTTCCGTCGTAAATGAAACCATCTCAGATTTTCTAATTTTATTTCCCTCTTAGAAAAAATAAGACACCCCAAAACACAGCTTGAATTTTGATAAGACCCCGTGGAAGTTTTTATCAGATTTAATTTTCAATTAATAAATACCACTGGCACTGTCGCGTTCTGTAATCTTTAATTTAGAATTTATTGAAGTATCTATACCTATAAACACACACATCTGACATACCCCTATATCAATACAACAACTCCAGTAACACAGAGTTGCTAAGTGAAGGGACAAGACAATAAAATTCTCAATCGATATCACCGACCATGAGCCGTGTATCAGTTTACACGAGAGATCTTCATTCTTTTATCGGAAAACTTTTAATCTCTATAATAAATTTTCGGTAAACATTTCTAAGTGTATTTTTGGTATAGGCTTATATCGTCGGATTCCGCTATTTACGTATATCTCCAGACTCCGGTTTTGGATCGTGAGTTGCTCCCTAGCCTCCGTGTCGCACTTTTCCGTTGATTGGAGCCCCCACGTATCCATATACAGATGGGTGTCCCTACCTAGAAACAGGGACAGATATAGCAAAGTTATTGATATCTATACCCTAATATTGATGTCCGTCTAATGCTGCGTAATACTAGTTTTTTATCCTCTGTGCGTGTGTGATTGTCTTACTTATTTGATCATGACTTTATTTATATCAACATTATTTGAAATCTTTTTTTGGCTGTGAAATTTCATTAAAAAATCCTTCTGTAAATCACAACGAGTCGGACTTTGGTGCACACCACTGCTGAAGTACCGTATAAATACCGCTTTGTCCATGTTCTGTTACGCCAACTTTCTTCCGTGTGTTTTGATACAGATATTTAACCTTATTAGGCTTAACTTATTTAAATGTCTAGAAAATCTCTTCCAGGATCGTAAAATCATGAATTATTTTGATAAACCGTTTAGAGCATTTATAATACCCAGAGTCAACAAAGCATATTCGTATACCATCATATATTATTGAGGGCGTAGTCATGGTTCAAATGGTAAACAAGAACATGATTTCCCTCCGCCGATATACATACCTTTACAACAAACGTGTCCTAACCTAATATTTTGTTGACTAATTAACAAAAATAGGACAATGGTTTTCTTGCTTCGTAAATATTTTACGACCCAGTAATTGGCATCTTTCATATGGGAAGTGAAACGTGGGAAATCGAAGGCATATTTCTGATTCAGAGTACTAATTGTCCCAAGAAGAATAGCATTCGTACCCCCCCTTTTTCCTTTCTAACTCAAGTTTTTGTAATACCTGCCCGTTTGCTCAACCTTAAATTCAAATTATATCTTCATTAGAACTTTCACATTATGCAAATAGATATTTTATATCTGATAACAGTAAAAACATAATACGTGTCATTGTTTGAGGCATTTCGTTATAACAAACACATTATCATTTTCAAACATCTTTATATATCTGCTATGAAGTATTTTGCTAAAGGAACAACAGTTTTTTTCGGAACGGGTGTGTTCGAAACAAATTAAATTGATTACGGCGTTAGATACTGAACTTATATTCGTTTATTAAATTGAGAAAATGAACGCGTCATTTTAGCACAATACATGTATATAGATCCAGTCTATACGCGATTTCGCTGCGAGTGATATTTACTTCTCTTTTAAATTAGCTCTTAGTAAAAAATCTAATTTTTTCATAATCACTTGAAAATGTGTTTTAGTCATTAAACTGGCAGTCAACTAATTCCTTCCCCTTCGATCGCATTGCTTCCAATAACTAGAAGCCAAAGTTAATAGATTTTTATACGTAGATTTTTTTTATGGATTTTCAAATATTACATGTATTTGTAAAAAAAAAATTGGACTGAACTTGATAATATCAAGCGTATGTTTAAGCTTTCTTCATAATAATATTTTCAGAGAAGTATCAGGAACCGGCGAGGGCGATAAAGCATGACGGACAGCGCCAGGCCCAGGGCAAATTCGAGGGGGAACCCACCTACAAATGTAAGTCTTTGAGACAATTTTGCGATTTCACTCTTCATGGTACCTGTAAACAGAAGAGCAAAAATAAACTATACTTGAATGACATTCTCATTTTAATGTTTCAGCTGACTATAGAAAATGGGACATGTCCGGTCGAGTCGGACCATACGTTTCCCAGGACGCATGGCAACCACCCAACAGTAGGTTTGAGGGCGAAAGCACAATGCATCATGATTACATCAAGTATGATGCCAAAAGACGCGGCATGATTAAGCCCCCGCAGGCGGCTCAGATGTCCGATTCCCCCTTCAATGATAGGACCGGTTACAGAGATTCCTACATCAAACATCCTTTGGAGCCAAAGTACGTTCATCCTAAGGAACAGTACAAGGGCCCCGCTGCACCTTTCGAGGACATGACAACGTTCAAACGAGATTATAAGGGCAACCCAGGGGAGATCACTCGAAGCTTTAAACCCGATAACCAAGCTTTCTCCTCTGGGAAACCATTAGAAGATACGACTACCAATAGAAACGATTATCGAAAATGGCCGATGGAACGCCCCTATGTACATGCGCATGAGCAGTACAAGAAGCCCGATGGCACCATGGAAATGACCACCACACATAACGCCACCTACCGCGAGCTTCCGATAGACCGAGTGGTCGCCCATCGTCCGTCGTCTGCCAATAAAGCACGTAACGCCCCCTTCGACGGGAGTACCAGTTATGCACATGATTACAAAAAGTGGGAGATGAATAGAAACAAACCCATGATGCGAGACGAATACCATCCAAACACGGCGCCATTTGAGGGTCTCTCCACTCAGAAGGCTCATTTCATTCCTCATGAATTACAGCCAAACAAGAGCTTTAGACCCGACAACACTGCTTTCCAGAGTGGATCTAAGTTTGAAGATGGTACCATGTACCGCACAGACTATACACCTAAACAAGTTGAAATCTGCCCTGTCATAGGAATAGAAAAGGGTCAGTCGCAATACCAATTCGTTTCCACTGACCAGCGAGGTCACAAGATGTATAATCCCGTTTTCGAGAGTGTCCATTCACTGTCCAATGGCTTTCAGTCGCCAAACCGAATGCAGATGACCGCTGCATAATCTGAACAATTTAGAACTTAATTTCATTTATCCCATATATACAGTCTGTGATATTATGTTTGTGTAGAAATATCGTGAAGGCCAGCTTTGGTAAGGGTCAGTATAAAAGAGATCTTTGGATTTGGGTTGTATTTTTAATAATAGTGCCTATATTTTCGTTTGGTTTCCAAAAGAACAGAAATACAGATATAAACATGGGAGAGAAATGCCCGGATGCTGTAGTGCTATATAACTAACAAAGTCATCACTTTTTAGCACAGAGACGGACATTTCATAAAAAAACATTAGTGACGCAATATGTTAAATATCTGCTTCTAGTATAATTTAGAACCTCTTTGTATAGCCCCTATCAGAAATCATATACCTCTATTTTTTGTAGATTAATTTAGGCCGCCATTGGGTGTCCGGATGTTTAAAAAATTACATGTATTTATTAATGTGCCGTAGATTTTTGTGTTTATATTACAAATAACTACGTTTCTTATGAGAAAACTTGTTGCCAAAAATATCCATACCGTTTTATATCGCACAGTTTTCACACTAAGTTTGCGGTACTTAAACACTGTTAAATAAGCACGTAATCTCTACCGGAAAAGGGTTAGTCTTTAATTGCTAACGTCATTTCCGGTCCAGATGCTGTTTTGCAAAGGGTCTGTGCGGTATAAATACGGTAATAACAATTGTGTTTCTTTATTAGTAACAATGATTGTTTATCATTAGAGTACATGATATTAATTGATGATGTTTGACTTACATGTATTACAATTGCTTGTTTCTAATCTGCCGCTTCAAATGTCACAAGCTTATATTGTTTTTCCCTTTTCCAAGCAATAAATGTAAAAACTTTTTACATTCCATGAAAAATACATTTTGTAATTTATGACACACGATTTCACAGTGTTGTTACATATTGTAATTTTCAACATAATCGCTGTACTTTTCTTTTAATTTTGTTAGTGGAATAGAGAACAATTATATTAAAGGAGATTCAATGTTCTTATTCTGTGTTGTTTGTTTTTGTATCACACTGGGTGAAATTCTACACAACTTTTGCCAGTGAGGAAAATGTTCAAAGTAAAATTCAAACTGAAGATCAACGCATGTGGTACTCACGTATGGTTTTAAAAAGGGACAACTAACAATTCTCTATAGAAAATATTTCTCGTGATATGTTCATTATCGCCCTTGAAGCACCGGAGACAAAAATAACAGACAAAATCATGAGAGGGAGAACTGAGTTTATGTCAAGGAATGATTGATGCTGATATTGTCACACATGTATTCATTTAAACATTTTCTTTCACTAAAAAACTTCTCAATTCTGCCTTCCAGAACATATGTACAAACACTTGTATACTTGCATACATGTACATGTATATACAAGTGTATTTTTCAAAATAGATAATATATTTTGGAAAATATAACAATACTGTATCTTGAATACAAGTTCGATATACAAAGCAGGGGTACACATAAAAAAAATCAATTTTAGAACTGCTGGATATTTTATGACATAACGATAAAATCTCGAGAAATTATATTGCCTTTAACATGACGAAAATGCATTTTATATTTTTGCATGTATAGCGGCGTACTCTGAGCAGAATCAGGTATATCTGCAAGCAAGTGTTGGCTTCAGCAACAAAATGGACTGGAATTTAATTATCAATTTCATAGTATAGAAATATTTTTTAAAGTATTAGATATATAACATTCCTCTCAAGCACACTATCTTATAGATCATCAGTCTGTAAGAAAACCATATTAAAATAATTTTTTATAGCCTGAGAATTCGAAATAACACGATCGATTACCTACAATATATACCTACGTTAGAGTTAAAAGTGCAAGATTACTTATCTACAAAAGAACGTAAGAGTTAGCCTATTGGATTCAAGATCTCCACATTATCTCTTCCATATGTAACTATCGGGCTCCAACTTCCGACATTTTGTTAAAAAGCGTGAAAAGCTTATTTTCTATATTTCCTGCCGTGTCCTGTACTCACTGAAGCTCTGTGGAGCGCGGACGGCATGGCGCTTAATCAAATAAAACTTATCTCGGCAATTAGTTTAAAGTAACAAATACATCTCTGTGATGCATGGAATTTCAAGTAAAAAATAACTCTGATTTCTGATATTTTTATATGTAAGAAAAAATATGTTTAAAAAACTGGAGGTGATAATATTACAGCAGATCGGATGGTATGGACGAGGAGTATCGAGACTCGGCTCGGCAATGGAAAACTTACTCTCTTGTGTTGCTCGTCTTCTTGGTTGCTCTCGTTGCTGGCTTTGCAGCGACGATTGTCTATTACGAAATCATTCGCAAACCTTACGGCGCAACACACTGCAATCGAGTCACGCTGACAGAACGACCCCTAGAAGGTGATCCAGGTCACTCAATTTTTCGAGATCTTACAAAAAATGAGTGGTCAGCACTGGAAAATTATTTGTATTCCAACAAAGCTTTTAATCTTAAAAGAAGAAACATTTATGCACCAAATTCGAGTTATCTGTACTTCGTCGAATTGTTGCTGCCCAACAAAACATCCGCTTTAGATTTTCTGGACTTTATAGGCCGGCCTCAGCCCCCGAGAGAGGCCCGTGTTGTGTTGTTCCGTGGTGACAAATTTCCCCCAGTGACGGAGGAGTACTCGGTTGGTCCGCTGCACAAAATAGAATATCACAGACTTCTACTATCGGCCCCATATCTCTACAGACCGGTGTCCACCATCGAAACCCGCGCAGTCCGGAAACTACTGCGGCGAGTCGACGTCACCCTTAAATATGTCTTAGAGGAAAGTTACGAGGCTAGCTTCTTTGACTGTGATCCACAATGTCTAATTCTGGACTATTACACCCCAGTAACTCCAGCTATGTCTGGAAGAAACGTCCGCTTAATTTGGTATTGGACTCACTACCAAGTCAAACAATTCTTGCTGAATCCTGTGGACTTTTTCATCTTATTCAATTTGGATGGGCCAGATCCAAACAAATACTACATAGAAAAAATATGGTACTCTGGACAAGAGTACAGATCTCCTGAGCATGTTCTAGAGGCGTATATTTCTGGAAATTCGCCAAAATCTTCGATCCCATTCCCCGTAGATCCACACATTCTACTGTCCGTTAATCCCTCTACTCCTACGATGGGATTGCGGAGTCCAAAGGTGGTTGAACCGGATGGACACAGATATTCTGTCAATCAAGGAAGAATACAGTACATGGACTGGGATTTCCACATCAGAATGTCGACAACATCCGGGCCGCAGTTATTGGATGTTAAATACAGGAGCGTCCGTATTCTGTATGAACTCAGTCTGCAAGAAATAGCAGCGTTTTCATCCGGGCATCACCCATGGCTACGTCACTCAAGCCTCTTGTACAGTAGTCTTTTACTGGGAAGGCATGCTAGGTCACTGATACCGTCCGTAGACTGTCCTATACATGCTACATACATTTCAGTTACTACGTCAAAAGAAAGTCGACCTAAAAGTAGTATTCTTCCTAACGCATTCTGTGTGTTTGAACAAGATTCGGGTTTCCCACTTCGTCGATCATCATCAAATAATTTCTTTTCGGGATTATCTGATATTTCATTAACATTAAGAGCCATATTATCTGTGCTTGGTAACGAATTTATCATTGATGTGTTGTTTCGTTTAAATGGCGTGATAGAGACTAGGGTAACTGTCACGGGATATCCAATGGGAACATTCCATGCACCGCAAGAATCTCGTTATGGATTCCGATTGCGGGAAAACTTCATAGCGCCCATACGACAATTTTCATTTCATTTCAAAGTAGATTTAGACGTGCATGGTACAAGCAACCGTTTTGAAACCATCGATATACAAACTCAGGATATATATTCAGGTGACGAGGCTGGCAGTGACGATAAGGTTATTCAACAATTAAAAATAAAAACTGATCTTAAAATGACAGAACAACAAGGGTTAATCAAGGACTTTTTCGAAAGGTACTTTATATTCCATAATGATAAGATCAAAACGAAATACAAAGACCTTACTGGTTATCGGATACATATGACGGGGAGTGCGGCAGGACAACTGTTGTCTTCCGGAACCGGAAATGAGCCGTCAATGTCCTGGTCTCGTTATCACATAGCAGTGACCAAGAGTAAGGATACAGAGAGATGCAGTAGTTCTATCTATTCCATGTGGGATTCACAGAAACCAGTGGTTAACTTTCAGAACTATATTTCAGATGATGAAGATATCGTAGATGAGGTAAATATCCACATAACTTTAAGTATATTTCAGCCAGATGAAATTCGCTTAAATTCATACTGCAAACTTATTCTTTCATAATCAAATACAGAAAATTGCTGAATCACTTGTTTTAACTTCTTGACGATCTTTACTAATGCCGGTCAATTTGGCTTTATCCAATTCTTTGAATCAAGTTACAAAAGTGAAAATATACTTGGTTCTAGAATTTTGAAAAGCATGCTGTAATGTCTAAGCGTGAAATCTGGTCCATGTAGCCTATACGGATTACCAACTCGTAAGAAAGACCTACCTCCTTTACGTTTCACTTACATATGCAGGTATAGTAAAACTATTCCTACGATCGAGTTACAATAATTTCTGCTTTTGACGTTACAGGATCTGGTTGCCTGGGTGACTTTGAGGACGTACAAGGTTCCATCTATGGAGTCACTTCCGGTTTTTCAGACAGCGGGAGACCTGCAGTCTTTCTTTATTTCTCCTTTCAATTATTACAAAGAAGATCCGTCAATTACGTCAAGAGATGCCTTAATTGTGGAACCAAGTTCTGATTCAGAAGAATATCTTGACAAATATAATCTAACAGCGTATAGTATTATTAATAATGGCATCACAAAATCGTTTAAATGTTCCACTGAATACAAAGTTAAGGACAAAATCGTTCTACTTAAGACTGAATCTTTGTATGGAAGTTCTCATGATAATGGTGAGAAATAAATTTGTACTTTTGCCTTTCGTATTTTATAACAAAGAAACAAAGGAGCATATATATCAGTCTGATCCCTGACTCTAAATTACTGACCAAAGCAATACACCCAATCAAACTTTTGACGAGATACATAGTCCATGAGCCACTGGGGGTGGTTGGTACCATTTTGGGTGAATAAACTTAATAATGATATTTGGTAAGGTATACCCCTAACTAGTGAGAAAATGTATGATAACATCAAATCTGTTGTGGCTTCAATGCTGGAGACAGGGTTATTGCCTTTTATTTGCTATAATTAGGTATTTTGAGCAAAATATATTTGCAACCTGCAAAGTATTTGTCACACAGTTGCCAACCGTGATAGAAAGTTCTACCAGAATTACTCAGAGATATGATGAACATATTAAAAGAGCATTAACTGAGTTATTAGCCGTGATTCTAACTAAAATTGCATATTTTTACCACTTTTATTAAAAAATTATATCTACTTTTTTTATGTACTTGTACCTGTACATAAATTTGTATAATGAAAAAGATAAGTACCAACGTACATGTACTAGTTTAGTTATTCATCCGTCGGTGACGACGACGACCACTGTCTCATTTTCGTGGGGTAGGAGGCTGACCTGGACGGTTGGTGTCTGGTCAGGCCGATCCTCGCACAAGCAGATGATGGAGGTTTTTGACTAGAGCCACGCCCCTTCTTTATATATTTCGTCGTTGATTGTAAAAGGACAGTTCAGAACGCCCTTGAAATGTTTCGCCCACCTGTCAAGTGTTTTAATTCCTTCTCTGTGATGAGTGTTAACCCGTCATCACTGAGGAGAGGGATGAGCCTGATGGAGTTGGCCCGTAGACTTCCCCAAGTCTACAGTAAAAGTTCTTCCTGTCATGAGATTCAGCGTAGAGTTGGATCTCGTCAGCTTTGGTATTCAGCCAGGAGTCCTGCATATCCCGAAGCTTTTGCTGTACTATGCTGCGAGCGTTCCCCAGAGCGTCTCTTTGGCTGTGGAGGTGGGATCATCAATATGAGCCTTGCAAGCGGATGTTTGTCCTCTAGAAGCTACGTGGTCTCGGCACGATTCTCATCAAACTAGTCTTTGTGTTTTTGGTGGAGGGCCCAAGACACTCGAAGGCTGCATTGAAGTGTGTTCCATGCTTCTTCCACGTCGTGGTCATCCAGAACGGTGGAGTTCAGGTGTTATTCCAGGGTGTCAGCAAGGTACTGAGAGGTGGAAGGCAACTTGAGCTTGCCAACGTTGAGACTTTTTGAAGCTTTAGTACCCTGATGACGTATCATGAGTTTGATCCGGAAGTTGAAAGTTGAAGTTTAGAGACTATGAGACGGTGATCTGTCCAGTACCCCGTGCCGCACATAGCCTTGGTGAACAACAGAAATTTCTGTCTGTCTTTCTATATTTTTCCTGACAAAGAGGTAGTCAATGAGATTCCAGTGCTTTGAGCGAGGGTGCATCCATGACGTCTTGTTACGGATGGGAAGGCAGAAAACGGTGCTAGTGGTGAGAAGGTCATGTTCAGCTCAGGTCTGGAGAAGCAACAGACTGTTACTGTTGCAGTTGCCCACTCCGTGCTTCCAAATCACGCCTTCCCCTGGTGGTCCAGATCTTGCATTAAAGTCACTTAGAATTATGAGCCGCCTTGTCGGCGTTGAAGTCGGTGTTGAGGACATTGTGGAGGTTCTCATAGAACTTGTTTTAGCCTCCTCCGGATTAGACAGGGTAGGAACATAGTGGCGAACTTTCCTCGAGTAAAAGGGGTCTCATCATCATCAGACGGTCGTTCACTCCTTTGGGTACGCTACTAGCTTGCCAGCAGATGTCGTCTTTATAGCAAAGCCTACGCCAGCTTCTCGTCTCTCATTGGCTCCTCGTCCACTCCCAAAGAAGGCATAGCCATGCGTATTGAAAAACCAACATTCTTCTTTCAAAGATACAGCTGAGAAAGCGAACAAGTTGGGTTGGTATATATAAACGGTTGATACACCATTAAAGCCACATCAATTGAATGCTATCATACATTTTCTGAAGTTAGAGATGTATGTTCTTCAAAAATTAACTATGAAAATTATTCACCCAAGATGGTACCGATACCGAAAAATTCATGGCCTGGCTCATGGACTAACATGTATTTAAAGCTAAATCGGTTATAACGACGTACAAAATAAATGGAGCCCTAAAAAATCTTGTCACAAGAAATACACAAGAAAAAAAAATGAAAGTCCTTGCACCAACTGTTAAAAAGGTTTGGAAAGTTTTTCAAAAGAATGTCAAATTCCTAGGTCAGAGTGCTCTTGCCACAAGAAATACATCTGTGAAATATATAAGCCATTATGTAGCAAAAACTGGTCAAAAATTATAAGGTTAAAGTTTTTTAAAAGTTTGTCATATTCCAAGATCAAGCCAAGAGCGTAAAACTTATTGGTATCTAAGGAAAACTCTTGTTATATGGAATATAAAGTAAAAAATGCATAGCACAAACTGCTCAAAAGTTATTGCCAAGGTTAAAGTAAGTAAAATTATGCAAGAATGTGTCAAACTGCAAGGTAAAAGAGCACGTTAAGTATGTTGGTGCCAAAAGGAAGAACTTAATTGTCAAGCTAGGGAATACACTTGTGAGATATGTAAGCCATAGGTCCATGCAATGAAAAGTTATGGGCATGGTTAAATTTTTTGCCTACAAACAGATTAACAGAAAGATGGACGGACGGACATGGCAAAAATTATATGCCGCGAAACCTGTATTACTGTGGCTAAAAAAAACTCCATAGAAGGCCACCTTTAAAAAATGTCTGGTTGCCCTCTCCCACTCGACTGATTAAAAATGGTCTGATTCAAAACCTTTTTTTTTTACATTCAAGGACACGATATATTTTTTTCTAATTATTCCTCTCATCCCGTCAACAAATATACTGAAATTTTCTGGAAAAAAAAAAGATTTTCATACCTACCTACCGACCCAATAATTTTACCCTCAGTCGGGAGAAATCAAGCAAACAGTACTTTAAATTGGCCTAAATCATGAATAAATGACTAGTCTCAGAAAAAAATAGAAAGTGAGCCTGGGTCCCTCCACATTACCTATACTCTATGTCTGGTGAGAAGCAAGGCACCTGATTCATTTTTACTGAAAAATTCTAATAATTTGTTGTTTTTTTTCAAGATGTTTACATAACACAATTTTAGCATACTACTAGTATTATCCAAATCAGAGTACAAGACATAGACAAGAATAAAGGGTTAGTCTGTTCCAACCCCATTATGTTATTGTTGGACTTTAAAAAATGCATGGTTTTCTGTATATTGAACGAAAGATATTTGTTTTATTATGATGGACCTTTATTTTTGAAATCAGTACAAACCACACCAGGGAAATATGGATTTGCTAAGGTGCCAATTCCCCTTGGTTCCTAGCTGCTGTCTGCAAGTGAAATAGGGTTTACAGGTTGGTGAGTTGTAGGGAAAACAGTATCGAAGCGATGGCTTCCAAAACTTCCTCCAAAACTCCGAGTAGCAACCCCCCCCCCCCGAAAAAAAATTGTTAACCGTACGCGTCCAATTCAGAAAAAGTGAGAAGTGAGGATGAGTGCCCCGGCCCCTCGCATATTCTGCGGGCATGGGATGGATTTTACTTTGACACTACCCCAGCGATTGATAAAAAATGTGGAGTCTTTTCAAACTGGAAATCAACGAAAGGTATGTGTTCTTGTTTTAAGGAGAAAAAAAAAAACGTGTGCTCCACAGCACCGTATTATGGACCTGTCCTAAATTTCGAATGTCCCGTGGAATAAAACTTAATTTTTTTTTAAATATAAAGAAATGTGTTTGTGAAACCTTGATGCCCTCGTATGGCAACATAACGAAGGTTAAATGCAAATCAAATATGAAAACCTTAGCACCGCCTGTTCAAAAGTTAATGGCCAAGGTTAAAGTTTTTTAAATGTAGGTCAAACTCCAAGGTCAAAGGGTCAAAGTTGCTGGTATCCCATGAAAGGTCTTGTAACAAGGATATGTGAGGTATGAAAGCTTTAGCCCTTACCGTTAAAAAAGTTATGGACAGGGTAATTGAAGTTTTTAGAGGGAGGTCAATCTCCAAGGGCAAGTTAAAAAGGTCAAAGTAGTTGGTATCCAATCCAAGGTCTTGTCACAAAGAATACATATGTAGCGGACAGTATATAGGGAACTTATACTGCCTCGCCAGTGAGCTAGCTTTTCTGGTGATGCGGTAGAGTCTCCCTCTATTTCAGGCAAGGTAAGCAACGGCGAGCCTGTTTAATCCCTGGATGGGTGACCGCTTCACGTTACAAAATTGGTGGCAGCGTAGTGACTCTGGTATCTGGTGTTCTGCTTCAGGAAGTCTTAGAGCTAGGACTTAGTGTCCATATACAGACTTCGTGTCTGTGGACGGCAGTGGTTGCCGTATCTGAAGTCAGGTTCCGATTTGCTTCAGGAAGCTCTAAGACTAGGACTTTGTGTCCGGGAACGGCATTGGTTGCCGTAGTTGAAGAGGCCCAGATACTCAGAGAGAACTCATGCTAAGCTTCGGGTCGAAGCTTCCCTGAGCGGGGGGAAGTGTAGCGGACAGTATATAGGGAACTTATACTGCCTCGCCAGTGAGCTAGCTTTTCTGGTGATGCGGTAGAGTCTCCCTCTATTTCAGGCAAGTTAAGCAACGGCGAGCCTGTTTAACCCTTGGATGGGTGACCGCTTCACGTTACACATATGTGAAGTCCTAGCACCAATCGTTCAAAAGTTATACCAAAGTAAAAGTTTGGTATTTTTGTGTAAAAGTATGTCAAACTCAAAGGTCAAGGTCAAATTTGGTGGTACCCAAAGAAAGGTCTTATCAAAGGTCTTATCATATGGAACACATCTGTGAAATATGAAAGCCATGGGATAGCTCCACTAAATCAAAGTTATGAAAAAGGTTTTAGATTTTGCGGACAAATAGACAGACAGACAGAATGACAGAAAAACAGACATACACTAACAGATAGACAGAT